GGCACCAAGAAGTAAGATAGGGGCAGGATGGGAACATTATTGGTGGGTGGCAGGAAGTGATAACAGCTGATAAGATACCATAAGGAGCCTTAAAAAGAGTGAGTTACCTAATTCATAACACCGGCCACAGCAGCGATGGGACGTTGGTTTCAAGAAGTTAGATAGGGGGCAGGATGGGAACATTATTGGTGGGTGACAGGAAGTGATAACAGCTGATAAGATACCATAAGGAGCCTTAAAAAGAGTGAGTTACCTAATTCATAACACCGGCCACAGCAGCGATGGGACGTTGGTTCCAAGAAGTTAGATAGGGGGCAGGATGGGAACTTATTGGTGGGTGGCAGGACGTGATAACAGCTGATAAGCTGTTATCACGTCCTGCCACCCACCAACTGATAAACTTCAGCACCGGTGCCCAAGGAACAATGGTTAGAGGCTTCGTGAGTCAAGTATTCTATCCCTTAGCGATATGGTTACGACCGCTAAGCTCTCGAGTTTCGACGAAAATTAAAAGCCCTGGAAGCTGCTCAACGGAAGTACTAGGATGTGAGAAATGTGAGGATATATCACCATGATATCGATGTTATTACCATCAAAAGTCTTTCAACCGCTAAGCTGTCCTATTTCCAACGGATGGTGAGTGTTTCTTAGAAATGTGATAAGCACCAGACATTAGCAAACGTTCATTAAATAGGAGAATCATAATGAAATAGGCCGTATTCTAAAAAATTGTAATCGGGCGAAGTGTTCGGGGTCAATACAGGAATCCTGTCAGCGCAGTACCATAGGTTCAACCATACGCGCAGTAGTGCGCGTCAGCCAAGCTTGTATCTGATAAGAGGCCTCAGAATGGAACTCTCACCATATTCGTAATGCGGGTCAGCATCAGCCAGGTGTTGATTCCAACATATGATTAGGGTATGGGACAGGAACATTATTGGTGGATGACAAGAACTGTCAGCTGCTGATAAGATTCGAGGGATTAGAAGGGTATGGTCACTGAGTCCATCACGCGAGTCGCAGTCACAGCAACAGTAGGAGGTCGGTTAGGAGGTCGGTTCCAAGATACGATGTAGGGTTTAGGAAAGGAACACTAGGTTGGTGACAAAAACTGCCAGCATCTGATAAGATTGGATAAGGGGCGTCAGGCTCTTTCTTTTGATGTCATTAGAATTTCGGAAGTAACAAAGCGCTGTATGTTGCACGATCCTCTGGCCAGATTCAACTTTAACCCATTGCTCGAGCTATTTTCAATTATTTTTCTTACATTTTGCTGGAAAATGCACTGTGAGCCGGTTAGCCGTATTTTGCGACTTGACTCTCCGACTGGTATATCATAAGATAAACCCTTTCTCGAACATTTCAGTTCTCTGATTCTTTACTTCTCTGAACTGATACGTATACCATTCTTTCCTCTCTCACTCCGAGTTCCACTACTCTTTAATTCTTCACTTCTTCAGTGTCCCAAATTATGAACGCTGCTATGCAGTACTAGGAGGGGTGGGAGCACCGATTAGAAGGGCAAAGCGGTTGATCCAAATGCACCCATACACTAAGCGTAAACTGCGTGTTCAAAATGGAGCCAGAGCAGAGCTCTTAGCGGTGGTAGTCAGGGCACGTCACGGAGCCGGGAAGGTTTCTGGAAAGTACGACCCTCCCAAATTATAAGAAAATTGGGCAACAATCAAATAATGGTTACTTGAACATCAGCTTCTGATTCGTAGCGACATAAACGAAGAATTCCTTCTCTTCGATCCATGGGTATCCGCTAAAATAAAGTTGGGGGTTAATGCTGCGAAGTCGCCTGATTTTGTAAGAAACCTCGCTGATATTTTGTCCTCCAACTTCTCGAACAAAAGGCATGCGATGCACATCGTAGTCGGTGGTCACTCCATCAGGGCGTCTTCAACAAAGTTTAATTAATGCCTTGGTGTCCTGTAAATGAGTCCGCGCGACGTTGCTTGCGAGCGCTGAAGTTTGATCCCGAGGGACCATCTCTAGCACATCTAATCACGAAAGAGATTAGTAAAGGTTGGATAATCAAAGAACCGGTGGAACGTTGTATAACAGAAGTTTGGAGCTCTACGGACGAAAAATTCAAGAGAGGACATCAAGGTATAGTTGGAGCAAGAGAAAAGATGTCTAGAAATCTTCGCACAAGTATGAAGCTCTCCTTTCGTCTAGTTTCCTAGTTTTGAGTATCGCAAAATATGTACTCGCCCTAATGGCAAATTATATTTCTATTCAGTTTTGATTTTCTGTTTATTGTTTTATTTCAGGTGAACTTCTCTTCTTCTTTCTAGCGTTAATCCTTGCGCCGTCAGTCCCCACAGTCCTATCTTCTTGTAAGACGTCGCCATTTGTTTCGATCCAATGAAGTTTCTGCCGTAGCATTCATTTCAAGGAGGTTGGTTTCTAGGTCTATCCAGTCGAGTCTAGCAGTGGGCCCATTCCAGCATCCTCATTTGAGCTCAGTGGAGCTGCCTTACTGACACCTGCATATGAGCCAGCATTCTCTGCTGTGAAGCATCGCGGGCCTCACCCTTTGCCCTGTACACCTTGCCCTTCGTTCCCCATCGATCGCCGAGGATACCGGTGGACTCCCTCCACTCCATACTGCATCTTATTGAACCTTTTTCATCTTGTCCACATTGCCATTGGCTGCGAGACGCTCTCCAAGTGAAGGTCTTCAACACTTTCGATGCTTTTGCCGTGGCGGTCCAGGATGGGTTCGGCGCAGTTTTCAAAGTTCAAATACATAGTTTCTTTATGTTCAGCCGAAATTCTTTCTCAGTATTCTTCATTCCCTGCTACCTTTGCACCGTGCTCTCGAACTCGCTCGCTCGCTGACAGCTATCAGAACAACGACGACAACGTAGTGAATGGTTTTCAGTGACCCCTTCATGAGTTTCTCTGGTAAAACATCCAGGAGGAAGAGTTAATAGCAAGAAGAACAAGTCTAACCCTTGGTGTGCCCCAATGGTGATGTCTACCTTCATTGTGAGGCCGTCAGTAGTACATAATTATTAGTATATGCCTTAGCCCCGTTGTACATGTCCTTCGCTAGAAAGATCGGTGTTTCGGGACTTCCGTTTTCAGAGCGCTCTCCATTGCATGAGCCGAGGTTGGCGGCGAATGCCTCTAGGAAAGCTAAGTTGCAGGGACGGCAGATCTCTTGATTCCTCTTCATTATCTGCTTCGTGATGAAGATGGCATCTTGGTGGACTTTTCTTGCATACAGCCGATCTTCTCCTGCGAGGTGGAACGGCTCCTGCGAGACGGGAACAAGCTCCCTCAGCCTTCTCTTGACTAACCGCTCGTCGGCTTCATGGTACGTGGAGTCAAAACGATGCCACGTAGTACGAGCGTTCCTTCGCTGCTTTTTTTGTATGGACCCCTTCCGTTCGAGTTTGGGCTGCTTCTGCAGTCGGCATCCTTCCTTAAGCTGCTGTGTCGTTCAGAAAGTGAATGAGCCACGTTACCAAACTCTCTCCAAGGGTTTTCTATGACACAATCGGTACCCCATCTAGACCCTTCTTTTTTAAACTATCATCTTTTCTGACTCCCGGTGGACCTAATCCTCTGGCAGGGAGGACAGTGTTTGTCAGATCCTTTATCTCCAGGCTCTCTTGCGGGGAAATCCTTCGTTCAGGAGTTTCTCGGAGTAACCTTCGCACCTTTTTCGACCAGCTGGTTCCCTTGAAATGGCACCTTAGTACCCTCATGCCTTGAATAGCGCGACGCCTGCTTCAGCCAAGTGAAAGACGAACCTCTCCCCATGCCCTGCCTCCAGATTCTCGTAGCTTCTCGTCTCTTTTCTGGTTCATAGTCTTGGCAGGTCTGCTAATTGTAGCTCTTGCAGGTGCCGAGATCGGCTGGAACCCAGCCTCCAGTCGTTTTCTACCAATCTATCCTTTTCCACTTGATGCACTGTCCACCATAGAATTCTATGCTCATTCCCACACATGTTTTCTTAGCGAAGTGTGGTGCGACGTCTGCCAGGAGCCTTCAGTCGTCGGAGTGAAGTCATTTATCGGGAACTCTCGTATTCTAACCACAGAACTCGAAAGAGTGCTCTGCTTGGCTTTACTTGTGACATTCTAACAATAACACTCACGTTTTTGCGGCTTCTAATCACTTTTGTTGTGACGAATTCTTTTTTTTGTGCCCCAGCATGAATGAAACCGAGTTTATGTTAAAATTACGACTTTGGTCTAATTTTCATCCCCTTCTTTTCTCCAGAATTGAATTATATAACTTTGGAGTCGTTTCTTGACTTTCTTACTCTGTTGTTTGCTGCAAACTCCTGTCATCCAATCACTCATAAATCTGTGATAAACTAACCTTTACTGTTCGTCTTTGCGATCACAATTGCTCGAAATACCTCCCGCAATCTACTTTTCAGAGAGTAGCAAATGCATGCATTTTACGTTTTCGCGGCTTCGCAGTACGACGAAGGCGCGGTGGTCCTCATATGTAGTGGCATTTCTGACGCATTCCCAGCTGTCCCGCTCACAGAAATTCGGAGGCTGTTCCCTCTCACAAGTTCACTTTTAATAGCTTTTTTACCCCTTTTCCTTTTTTGTGTGGATGGTACTGGTACATGAGTGACGCGGAGAAAAGATTATTGAGCTAAACTTGCAGGATATCCCTCTGCTGTTATAAAATGAGCAGATCGGGAGAACTCGTCCAGTCAGGCTGCCAGGTCTATACTTGGCACGTTCTCCATTGTTTTTTTCCTATTTTTATTTCTCTTCTGGAGAATTACCTATCATAGGTTTGTATTAACTGACAATGAGCGCCATTATCTACAGTAGTCAACCGCGAGGTTTGTCTGTAAGGTTCGTACACGCGCTGATCGCAACGTTTCGATTTTGTGCATCCCTTGCGATGCAGCACCCTACATGTTGTCAGGATGCACTTATCTACTTTAGGGCACTGGCATTTACTACTGGTATCTTTGGCATAATCATACTTCAAGGCAGTTTTCAAAGAAACCCTTACTTCATGCGCATGCCCATGATTCTCCACGCTACTTTGGATGTTCCTGACTTCTCTTCTATCGTTCCTACCATATGCGCTTCACAGTATTTTCCTTCACCTTGTGGCTAAATAATTGTCGCTGAGTGAAGAAAAGTCGAGTGAGTGAGCCGAACAAACCTTAACAGATTTTTTCCGTGATTTCTGGTAAGCAGACACTTTATCAGTGTTTTTTCGCAGAAATAGCACATTTGTGAGTGCTTCCACTTCTTTTCTGTTAATGCTGAAATGTAGCGCTCTTTAGAAGTTGGTGCAGCCGAAGAAGAATATCTCCCATTGACGACGTTGAGCAATCTACTTAGACTTATTCTTGCACATATACGCTCCATTCTTTGTAAACTTTTTCCGAGTAAATCTGATTTTCAGTCGTTCCCTTTGCTTTTTTTCAGCGTTGATTCAGTACTAATCACTAACTCTAACTCGTTATGCTGGTGCAGAGAGCAGTAGCTCAGTAGCATAAAGGCACGGCCCCTGTGGAGGTATGGGCGTAAACAGTCAACAGTCTTGCCTTTTTCATTTGGAGCGTCCAAAGTTCCGATGTCTTCAAAAGAATAAAGGAAGTACAGCAGTTGGCTTTGAAAGTTGATTCCGAGCATAGCATGAGCATGCGAATAAGCGAAATTCGAAAAAACTGCGTGGTTTGGAGAAGCTAAGCTTTCCGATATGCCATCTGCGCACAATCCTAGTATATTCCGCGAAGTGTTTGCACCTGTTCAACCGGCGCACGTTTCAGCGTGCGCGACATCATGAACCCTAGGGATATGATGCTGAATCTGGGTACCTGCACTTGCAAGAGCTCTGGTTTAGTGATTCACCCAAAGTGGATCATCAGCTGCCAACTTCTCCTGTATATCCACTTCTTATGAATGCAGCTTTATGCTTGAGCTGTCAGATAAAACGTTCTAGCACTGACTACAGTCGCAAGCGAGCTCCACCCCTCCCCCCCCCTCCCTCGGTACAACCCCTTTTCTATTGCTTGTACAATTTCTAGATGGCTTCTTAAAATAATCCCGACGACCAGCCGATTTCTGCGATAATTACTCTCATGACATTATGTTAATCGATCACTGTGAACAACTAACAATTGTTGTATCACTTGTCGACTTGTCGATATTCCCGGCCACCGATCGTCGCTAGTCTCCTCACCCCATCTTCCCCGGAGCGATACGGCCGCGTGAGATGGTTTTCGCGTCTGGCACCTTACGTGACTCCCTATGATGGCCCCTGTTGTCGAGGTTGAGGTCCTCAGCAATCGTCCCACCGATATGCTCCCCGTACTAACATGGTCTGGGCTTGAATCTGCATAGTAGATAGCTGCCTTGGCAATGCTTGCACATCGTTGGTGGCACGTTTTCTCATTAATTTAGTAATTAGATTAGTAATTTCTTGACAGTCGTGATCGCCCTTTTCGTTGTCCGATATGTACCGTCTAAGCCGCTTAAAGACACATGGTACGCTTCAAACACACTTGAGGGTGTATGAGACTATCAGCCCCCCAGCTGTCGATGTGTCGTGGTCCCCGCCCAAACATGCCCAGGAATGGAGATACAGGACCGTGAAACACGCTAGTTCCTCCATGCTCCGCCTTACACCTTTTGCGGCGCAGATTCCCGTCCTTCATAACATCCGTTGCAAGCGCGCGTGTCGCGTGCGGCCTTGGCACTTTGCCAAGTACTTTAATTGAGCTGTCAAATACGAGTAAAACGCAATTTCCTGATGCGGATAACATTGGAGGTGCTACAAAATAAGAACAGAAGATGATGACAAGGGCCAGAACTCAAGAGCAACTCGGCTGCATCCGCAGAATCCATCAGAGACCGCGCATTCCCAGAAAACATGAAACAATCAAGCGTCCCACTCGTTTATTCTAAGTATTTCTATGGCTTTGGCGCCGGATTCGCGCCGGATCGTAGAAATTTACAGGCGATTTCAACTAATTTGCCTTTCCTTGATTTTTTCATTTTTGTTTTGTTTACATTTACATCGTTGTGCTCATTTCTAGCCTGTGTCATCTTCATCTCCTTGTACATGGATTTTGAAGTATGAGCAACACCTAAAATTTTATTCGCATCAGGAAATTGCGTTTTGCTTGTATCAAACTAACGAGTATGCCGTTTTATTTTCATGTTTCGTGGAAATACGCGGCCTCCGAGGGATGTTGCAGAAGTGGCACAGTTGCTTTTAAGTTCTGACCCTCGTCATCATCTTCTGTTCTTATTTTGCAGCACCTCCAATGTTATCCGCATCAGGAAATTGCGTTTTACTTGTATTTGAAGCGCAATTAAAGGACTTGGCAAAGTGCCAAGGAGCACGCGACGCGCTTGCAACGGATGTTATGAAGGACGGGAATCTGCGCCGCAAAAAGGTGTAAGGCGGAGCATGGAGGAATTAGCGTGTTTCACGGTCCTGTATCTCCATTCCTGGGCATGTTTGGGCGGGGGGACCACGACACATCGACAGCTGGGGGGCTGATAGTCTCATACACCCTCAATGTGTGTGAGCGTACTATGTGTCTTTAAGATATCCGTGGCCTCATTTGGTTCCGTCCTTCCTCTAACATATTTCGATGTACCTCCTATCCGGAATTTTCTTATCGCGCTTCGTCCTGTTTAATATTCGGAACTTGTTGAAGATGGATGATGGATAACCCCGTCACAACAATTATGACAAGCCGCGCAAGTAACAGTGGTGGTGGTGGTGTTAATGCTAGGATGCCACCTGGATGTAGCGCGCAGAACCCTCGCCCGAGTTCTGTGGTCAGTATGCGAGGGCTACCGAGGGGTGAACGACCTCGGCCAAAGAAGCTAGTTCGAATTGGGACCCTGAACGTGTGGGTCGCTTACCGGGAAGTCTCGAGAGGTTGCCGACCTCATGAAACGCAGGAGTGTCGCCTTCAGCAACCCGCTGGAAAAGAGCCTTGGCTTGCGAGATCAAGGAAGGAGTGAAACTCTTCTACAATGAAGAAGACACCAAACGAAATGGTGTGGCAAATACTACAGAGATTGCGTCTCCTCTGTGAATAAGATCAGTGATCATATCATGGGAGTGAGAATAGACACGAAGGAGGGATATTAGACAGTGCTCACCGTGTACGCAAATCCGGTTGCTCCGAGATGCAAAATGAGGTCTACCTGACTCTACACCAGGCTATAAGGTCGATCCCGGGATCATCTCACCATAGCTGGTGATCTGAATGGCTATGTGGGTAGCGACACAAGGGGTTTAGAAAGGGTGCACGACCGCCCTTTCTATACGAGACAGGGGCAAGGAACGCTGAGGGAAAACGGATCCTTGACCTTGTCACAGCAAACGACTTCGCAATCTGCAGCACAATTTGTAGCTAAAGGAAAGCAGAGAAGATAAACTAGACCGTCTTTAAAAACTGACCGTTATGATATGGGGACAGAGGCTTCTCATGGCAGACATCACTACTGGAAAAGGATAGCTCCGGCCGAAGAAAACACCCTACAGTGTGCAAAGGAAGGCGAGAGACGCGACGTGGGACAAGACGAGACAAGGCAGCGTGGTTCTGGAACGAGGAACTCCAGGGGATCAAGCAGAAGAAGGAAGCATACAAATGCTGGCAAAACCCAAGAAGCCCAGTG